GTGCTGCCGGTGCTGAAGGAGTCGTGTCTCGGACAGGTTTGGTTCGGGGGCTTGGGAATTTGGGATGCAAGGTGGTAGTTTTCCTGTTCTAGGGGCACCAGGAAGCATAGTCTGGGTTTGGATTGAGGTTCAGACAGCTCAGAGCTGGGAGTGTTCATCTGGAGAAGAGAGGGCTCCAGGGAGAGCTCAGAGCCCCTTCTAGGCCCTAAAGGGGCTCCAGGAGAGCTGGAGAGGGACTGGGGACAAGGGATGGAGGGACAGGACACAGAGAATGGCTTCCACTGCCAGAGGGCAGGGTTAGATGAGATATAATGTGGTTTAAACTGACAGAGAGTAGGTTTAGATGGGATATTGGGCAGGAATTGTTCCCTTTGAGGGTGGGCAGGCCCTGGCACAGGGTGCCCAGAGAAGCTGTGGCTGCCCCTGGGTCCCTGGAAGTGTCCTAGGCCAGGTTGGATGGGTTTGGTACACCCTGGGATAGTGGGAGGTGTCCCTGTCCATGGCAGGGGGTGGGATGGGTTGATCTATTGGGTCACTTCCAGTCCGGTGATTCAGTGGTGATTCTGTTAATTTTCCACCCTTTTCAAATCCAGGAGGACACTCACAAAGTCCTTAGGGGGCACAAATGGAGTTGTCCTTGAGATCCATTTGTTGAGTGCATGCAGCTTCCAAATAACAAAATAATAAAAAAGATAGGAAGTGAGAATTGGATGGAAAGTTACCTTTTACAAAATACGTGTAACACTGGGAGAGGATATCAAATTGTTTCAGACAGCAAATAAAGACCAGTACAAGAGCATGGCTCTTGAGACTCTTCTGAGGATTGGTTTTCATTTAATGTTCTGTCTCTTGACTCTGGGTTGTAGTTGTAGACAAAGTGTTTCTTCTGTTCCACCCCTCCTTTCTTCTACCACAGTTTGTCATGCTTGAAAGGAATTTCTCTCATGACCATAATTGCAAAATGGATCTTGGAGCAAGGCAGACATTGCACTTGCTTTGTGGAGTAAAAGCTGCATTGGCTTTTTTGTTTTGTTCGGTAAATTCTCGCAAATGAGGGTTGGACTTGCACAAGCTGAACAACCTCTGTCGTAATCCATGTGTCCTGCACTTGTAGAGAAAAATCACCATGTGAAAAGCAAAGGGGTGGGGGTTTTATGTCCCATCTCTTCATACCTCGAGTGGTGTTTGGTCACCAAGTGTCACTTGTTGCTTTTGGGCATGGAGTGAGATACTGCACATCCTTATACAGGGACCCTGGAAGTCTACCAAGGCCAGGCTGGACAGGGCTTGGAGCAACCTGGGACAGGGGAAGGTGTCCCATGGCAGGAGTTGGGGTTTAAGGTCCCTTCCAAGCCAAATGATTCTGCGATGTGGCTGTGTCAGCTCTCCCTTCCAGCTGAAGGAGTTAATAATGGCACTGGGGAGGGATGGAGGGCAGGAAGGAAGGCTCCTGGCTGCTGGGACAGAGCATGGGCATCTCTGGCTCACTCATGGAGGTCACAGGCAGCAGCAAGCATGGGCTGAAACGCGAGGATGCTCTTTTCTGGGGGAGAAGACATTTTCCCAGCAGCGTTTTCCTGCACATCACTTCAACACAGTTACACAAATGAGGCTGCGCCGGTCAGGACAACCCTAGCTACGTGGCAAGGGGAGAGTTTTGTCCTCAGTGTCGTGTAATGGAGCTCTGCACCCTGCAAATGATGACCATCATCAAGGGAAGCTGTGCCCGTACAGTCCATCAAGAGCCGCAGAGCTAATGATGGGCTGGGCAGATAATCGGGGGAGAGTTAATTGTAAGGTTTGATATGGCATCTTGTCAGCAGAGATAAGTTGTCACGTTTTCCACTTGAGCTGAAACTAAATGATTGTAAAATAAGTTATGAGTGTCCTTGGGCCTGTCTGCCAGAATGATGGCTAAGAATACATTCCTGGCCCATCAGTCTCAAGCAGCCCGCTTGATATTTATGCGAACTGAATGTTATTTTATTCCCCCTCTAGTCATGCTTGTCAGCTTCCCGAGTGAAAAGTGAAACTGCTGCTTTGACTCATACTTCAAGTATTGAAGCTCGGAGAGGCTGCAGATTGTTATTATTATTACCAGTATTATATATTTTTTCGGGTGTGTGTTGAACATTGATGCCCGATTGGGAAGAACTAATGGCTGACATTGAACGTGCAGGATGGCTGGAAAACAGCCCATCCCAGCCCAGTGGAACGTGCCTTATGAGTTCCAGTGCCTCTGTCAAAGCTGCTTGAGATGGGGAGTAATGAGGCGCTTGCTTTTTTAATTTGCCGTGCCTTTTGCCTTGCCTTCCTCCCCCCCTTTTTTTTTTTCTTTTTTTTTAATATATATTTAATAGTGCCGGCAGTGGTCGTCTGTTCTCAGGCGTGGTAATTGATACCAAATAAAATGCATTATTTGTATTCAGTCAGGAGGATGAAATTGCATTCAGTGGGCTGAAGCCTGAACTCATTTACAGTTTCCCGAAGCCCGGGCTTTCAGGAGCCCTCTTTTCAATTTGAAGAATACCTTGTCAGGCAAGAGAAGGAGTGGGAAATGGGAGAGCACAGCGTGGAAGCACCCAGCGCCGTTTGATTGCTCATATTTTAAACCAGGGGAATGTTAAATAACTCCCATCTTCAAAGGGTGGGCTTGGAACACCGCGAATCCGGGGCAGTAACACACCGCTGGTATTGGCTTGGCTCTGCTGATGAGGAATCAACCTTTCCTTGCTGGTTGAGGGGGAGGGAAAGCTCCAGGCTCCCACTTGAGAGCAGTTTGACCCAAGGACAGCGGGTTGTTATTACCTGGAAGGGGCTGTGGATGACGAGGATTTACCACGGGAGGTTAATTCTTCAGCTCTCCGACGCCAGGCATCAACCCCGTACGTCACTCATTTTTCAGAGCTCTCAAGCAGGTTTTGTTGGGAGAATTTACGGCCTGGAAATTAGACAGAGCTGCCACCAGTGTGTTGATCTACCCTGATGGTTTTTAACAGGTTATATTCTGTGGTGTAGACTCAGGATTGTGGGGTTTTTTCACCATTTGATAGGTGCAGGGCATGGTGGTTGATGCTGCAGGTACAGGAGGTGATGGGATGAACTCGGATGGGTTTAATTGTTTTTAAAGTGAAAGCTGGGAATGTGGGGAGAAACGTGAAGCATTTTGAATTGTAGAATCCTGGAAAAGTTTGGGTTGGAAGGAACATTAAACATCACCTCGTTCTAACACCTCAGAGAGGGACACCTTCCATTATCCCAGGTTGCTCCAAGCCCTGTCGTCTAACCTGGCCTTGGGCACTTCCATTGATCCAGGGGCAGCCACAGCTGCTCTGGGCAACCTGGGGTTTTTTCCTTCTTTTGAAGTATCACCATTGGAAACCTCTGGAGTCAAGCTGGAGGTCAGTATTCGGGATTGGCAGTAACCCCATTGCATCTGTGCTCATGCCTTTGTGTTTCTGGCACCCTCTTCTTCATCTTCTGTCTGTGTCATGGATCCAAAGGGATCTGTGTCCCCTTGGCTGAGAGAATTCCCACCAGGATTTTCACTGGGTTTGCCTTCCTCCTCTCCTGGAGAGACAGCATACTCTGCCAGAACAGCCACTTGCACCAGTTATAGGTCAAATCCTTTAAAATCTCCTACACTGATACTGAGTCAATATATTCCCATTACTCCCTTTTGGGGTTAAATTCTTGGGGACTGGTTTCAAGCTAGTGGATGTAGTGAAAAGAACAGAAATCCTTAATATAGAGATTAATGTTTGGTTTGGTCTCTCTTGCCAGGCAATTAGCTACATAATTTAGCCCCCACTAATAACTTACAGCACAACTGTGCTTAGGGGATAATTAGTAAATAAACTTTATTAGGAGGAAAAAGAAACCAAAATAAGTTGGGTTTTGTCAAATAGGCAGTTCTGCGGGAATTTAACTATGCAAAAAAAAATCAAAAGCTATTTTTAAAATAACCTTTGGCTGGATGTTTTTCTGACATATTAAGTTAAGCTTAAATGCACTCCTGTTATTACACTTAAGCTTTGCAATAAGGATTTTTGTTCTTTTCCCTGTGTCTGCTATTGGGAAACCAATCATCAAGTATTTAACCCCAAAAGGCAGTCATGGGAATGCATTTGCTGAATATCTGTCTAGGAGATTTTAAGGATATGGCACATAAATGCAGTCCTGATACTGCACTAAGGTGCAATATGGTATTTAAGCAAGGTTCTGCAAATGGCTTCACTTTCCATAATAGCAAGCACTTTCCTTTAAGTGTAGGTTTTATGTGGAATTTTATAATTAAAATCCAAACCAAGCCAGTAATTAAACAAAAATCATATTACCAACCTTGGGGGGAAGTCCTGGATTAAGGTTACTTGAGTATTTACTATGTGGAAGGATCCAGTTCTTAAAACTGTTGGAGTTAATAAAACAGGAAACTGAACAGAGCAACGTGGGGTTATTTATTTTCCTTGGAAGCAGGTAAGAAGTGAGCGTTTATCACACAATTATTACCTGTACCAGCTGTACATTACTTACCTTATTTTCCCACCTATTGCCATCACCACCTTTTCAGTGTGTCTGTCTGATATAAATGACAGCAGAGAACATCCAGAGAATGCAGGGATATCTCTGTTTATGTTTTAAAATGTCCAAGTGTTACACAAATTAATTTGAGGCTAGGGAGGATCTTTGGAGGAAGGAGGAATGGGAAGCAATAAAGTGTTTTTGCATTGTTTTTGTACATTCCAGCTGGCCTTCTCCTAAAATTGATGCTGAGTCCTGTTTGTCTAACAGGATTTGAATCAGCACTTTAGCCTAGTTGGGGTTTTTTTTTACCTTTTAGAAAACAGTGATGGATATTGTTTGGAGAATCACCTGAATGAGCTCAAGAATGTATCTGTGAGCAGCCAGGGGTTATAGCTCGGGTTCCAACAATCAATTCATTTAAATCCCCAGCATTTTGATTCTTCTCCCCCTTTTTTTCTCCCCCCACCCAACTGCAGACACAGGCCTGGGAGATTCAGTGTGTTCCAGCCCCAGCATATCCAGCACCACCAGCCCCAAACTGGACCCCCCTCCTTCCCCCCACGCCAACAGAAAGAAGCACCGCCGGAAGAAAAGCACAAGCAACTTCAAAGCTGATGGCATCTCGGGCACGGCTGAAGGTAGGCTTCAGAAAAAATCCAAGCCTCAAGTTTGAAAATGCCATTCCAAAGAGTGTTGTTAGGTCAGCTACAGCCTTGGCTCTGAATGCACAAGGGAAAGGGAATTGTGAGAAATTAAAGACTGAGCTTGTAATGATGGAGCTGAACCATCTGAGGCATCACAGTGGTGAATTCAGCTGCCTGAAATGTGTTTAGAACTTTTTTTTTTTTTTTTTTTAAATAAATCAGTCCCCAAGTTAATATGGAGCATCATTAGGTGTTGAGGTAAGGAAGAGGCACGCTTGGAAGGTTAACAAGGAGGAAAAATTCAGGTTCACTCCACAGATCACATCAGAACTTGTGTATTTTTTCAGTATTATTAAATCTTGTGTTATCACATCTCCTTAGGCACATCCTGAGCTCTAGAATGGCCATCGCTTCTGATGCCTCTCATTGTTTGAATATTCAGCTGCTCGTGGAAAGCTTGTGTTATTTGAGGATAAAAGGGAAAAGGGGAGAGTTTAAATGTTTGGGTTCTTTTTCTTACAAGCTAGAAAGCAGAAGCCAAAAAGAACTTCTTTTTCTCCCTTAGTTTAGCTTACTATTTCCACACTGCTGTAGCTGTTCAATGCCCTTCTGAAGGGGTAACAATGTGTACAGGAACCAGATATGATATAAAACATGCTTGCAGCTTTAGAAAAGAAGAAAAGAAACATGCTAGGATTCAACCAAAAGAGCTCCAGAAAAAAAAAAAAAAAAGATGAACAAGGGTGGTTGGAGGGCTCAGAAACTGGGAAGTCAACACATAAGGAGAGATGAAAAAGGGAGACAATGGAATAACATTGTGGGGAAAGGAGAGTGTTGAGTAAGAAAAAGATGTGGTTGTAAGCATGGGAGAGTAAAAAACAGCTAATTCAGTATCAAAGAATGTTGGAACAAGTTCTGAAGAAAGGATGACAATTGCAGACAGCTGAGGAGACATTAAAAATAGATGTGATAATAGTATACAACTGAGAAGGGGCATGTTAACTACTACTTAGTCATCCTTATTTTCCATTTATTTAATTTCTCAATTGCACTTCTTTCACATCCGGAATTTATTTCCCCAGCTATCTATACAAATCCTTTTTTAAAAAGCCATCAGCCTTTTTTCATAACAGCTCCTGTTGTGTTCTCTTTCCAGTCATTTAACTATCTTTGCTGTTAGTTTCCTCCTAGTTTATGGCCTGAAGCCAAATTTTAGTTCAACCTTTCATTTTTAATTTGTCCTTTTTTTTTTTTTTTCTCTTTTAAAAAAGCCTTTTTACGCCACTTATTTTCATACCTCAATGGCAAATTACAGAGGGGATTTTTCAGAGTGTTCACCATTGGCCCAAGAATATTTTGTTGAAGTCAATGTGAATCAAGACCAGCTGGACATCGAGAGCCTTTGAAAAATCTCTTTCTGAGCAGTTAATAGGTGTATGTTTTCTTTCTCCTGGGGAGATTATTTTCACAAGGCACTGGAGCTGGAGCCTGTGTGGTCTTGGGCTGCAGGCACAGACCCAGAGGGAGCAGTGGAGGGTTTGGGTCTTTTGTCCCTGATGTCCCTGTTCTGATTGCAGAATCCATTTCATCCTCCTCTGTTTTTCTCCTCTCCTCATCTTTCAACATCACACTGTGTTATCTGAAATCCTCTTGCAAAAACTCAACAAAATTGTCCCCTTGTCGCTGGCTGGGTTTTGGGGTCCCTTTGGGATCCCTGAGGCTGCTTTTGCAGCTCTCAGCGACGGAGCAAATTCCCGAGCCTTGCCCAGATATAATTGTGGCTCATGGGGAGCTCTCAGACCAGCGGGGAAAAGAGACCAGCATATGCAGAGAGGCACAAATCCATCGTTTATTCTATGAAGGCATCCAATCTAGCATATACCCACGGTTATTGTTTTACAGGAGTTTTTATAACTTTTGAGGGTTTTACAGTTTGCACCAATTACCAAGGGAATTCTACTTTCTGACCAATCCCTGAGGGATTTTACATTCAAAGCTGGCCTATGGATACTAAAAGAGAATGAACCACTAATATTGGAGATAGATAAGAGGGTCTACCAAGGTGGGGGGGAACTGGATTCCTTTTGTATTCGTCATTTCACAAACCATTTCTTATCTTTAAGCTATGGTTTTCCAAGGGGCTTGTTCTGAGGATGCAGGGAAACTTTCTTCTTTATGAATATTTTCTGCTCCCTCCACATCCCCTCTCATAGAAATGGGATCAGTGTGCTTCCAGAAAGGCAGGAAGTTGTTGGCAAGCAGCAACTCAGTAACACACATGGAGCCCTGAAGGGAGTAGAATCATTTAGGATGGAAAAGCCCTCTGAGATCATGGAGTCCAACCATTACCCCAGCACTGCCAAGCCCACCACTAAATTATGTCCCCAAGTGCCGTATCCACTCATCTTTTAAATCCCTCCAGGGATGGGGATTCCACCGCTGCCCTGGGCAGCTGTCCAGCTGGGCTGGACAATCCTTTCTGTGAAGAAATTTTCCCCAATGTCCGCCCTGAGCCTCCCCTGGCCCAGCCTGAGGCCTTCCCTTCTCCTCCTGTCCCTGTTCCCAGATCCCAAATCCCCCCCGTCTGTCCCCTCCTGTCAGGGAGTTGTGCAGAGCCACAAGGGCATCCCTGAGCCTCCTTTTCTCCAGGCTGAGCCCCTTTCTCACCTCCTCCAGCCCTTTCCCAGCTACATTCCCTGCCCTGAACATGCTCCAACAGTGCCAACACCTCCTTTGACAGTGTTTGTACCTCTGCATGAGCCCACCAGCTTTCTCTGACCTGTTTCTCTCACGTGTCTTCTGAGGTGAGCACTCTGTTCTGTTTGGGACCTGCCAGCTGTGTCTCGGCAGGGCCTCAGTGGTTGTTAAATTCTTTAATTTCGCAGCATCTCTGTTCAAACACAGCCCTCCTGTTGAAAAGCAGCAGTTTGGCCACAAGAGCAGAATCAGGGCTCTGGGCATCCCAGAGCTCTGGGCATCCTTCAGCAGACAGCTAATCTTGCTGGTCCTTGAATCCTTGGCGGGGCTGGGAGGGGATGGCTGACAGCGAGGACAGGCAGCCTCGTCTGTCAGCCAGAGCTGAAGGAGAAGGCAATGAGGCGTGCTCCAGCTCCCTGTCCTTTTAGGAGAAGGGCGTCTCACAAAGAGTAATAGTGGTTGTAGATTCCCATTAAGGACGTCCTAGCAAGACTCAGAAAGGCTGGGGGTGCTGCTCTTTCCAAATCCTGGCAGCCTTTGGATTTGCTGGTGCTTGTGTTGGTGCAAGGCAGAATCACCAAATCTGAGGTTGAGGTTGGAAAAGGCCTCGAAGATCCTTGAGTCCAGCCAGGTTCAGGCTCTTCTGGGTATTTTCTGCAAGCAGTTGAATGTCAGAGGAGTTTAGGTTGGATCTCAGGGAGAGGTTCTTCCCCCAGAGGGTGCTGGGCACTGCCCAGGCTCCCCAGGGAATGGGCACAGCCCCAGAGCTCCAGGAGTGTTTGGACAATGCTCTCAGGGATGCACAGGGTGGGATTGATGGGGTGTCCGTGCAGGGCCAGGGCTTGGATCAGTGATCCTTGTGGGTCCTTTGCAATTCTGGATATCCCATGATTCTATGATTACCACATCTGTCTTGCACTTCCAAGCAATTTTCAGTTCCAGTTATTCCCTTCTTCTCCAGCGCTTGGCTACAAATCTGTCCAGTGGCCTAAAAGATTCCCTTGTGGATTTTTCTTCCCCCACTGTAATGTAGATTTGCACCCTCAGAGGATTACTGCACTTTTGAAGACCTCAAATCCAAATTAGGCCATCAAAGATGTTCTGGGAGATGCAAACACTTAGATGAAAATGTTTGAGATGGTGACTTTCTGCAAATGGGCCCCAGAAGCCTGTGGTGATAACTGTGGGAGAGCCATGTCTTCCCTCCTTGCTTCCTTCCTTCCTTCCTTCCTGGAATCCTTTCCTTCCTTCCTTCCTGGAATCCTTCCTTCTTTCCTGGAATCCTTCCTTCCCGAAGCCCTGGGCTCCATGTGCAGAGGAGGAGGCTCCTCCTGCAGTCGCTGTTCTCAGGAAGGTACAATGGATCACAGTTAAATGATGTACGTAATTCTAGATTTTGTGTCACCTTCCTTTGGCTCCATGCACATTTCAAGTGTCAGCTTTCAAACAGGAATTCTGGGTTCCTTCATTTTCCTCTGCACCAAAGCTGAGGTGTTCAGTGAGGTTTAAATCTGGTCTTCAGCAAACTCAAGCATTTTTACTGCACTTTGCAGGGCTTTTTTTCCCTCCTTGAACGTGCCTGCTTTGATCACTGACCTCTGCCCAAGTATTCAGATATCACGATGATGGACACTGAGCTCAGGGTGGTTCACCAATTCCAAGGACTGATGCTCATCCCTTTTATGCCTTTCCATAAAGGTCATGCTGATTCTTCTCTCTCCACACTATCTGCACATGCACAGCCCTCTCTTTCTGGGATGGGTTCTTTCTTCTCACTTGGTTTATCTTTCTGCAGCTTTTCTGAGACAATGCTCACAGCAACAAAAACGCTAAAGCATCTGTGCTGCACTTGAACGAAAATTAAAATTCAGTTCCTATTTCAGCAAATCAGATTCTTGTGATTTATTTTTTCCAAGCGCGGTGAGACCCAGGCAGAAGTTTTCAGTTCTCTGTGCAGAACTTGTCACTGAAAAAAAATCCCTCAGTGTTTTTGACGGTAGCAGCAGGAGTGCTTACATTAGGCAAGGTGCCAGCAACCAGCAGTTTTTTTCCCTCCATGCTGCCTGAAGTTGCTCGGAGCAGGATTAGACAGAGCTGTGTTTCAAAGAGGAATGGCTGCTCAGAGCCTCATCTGCTCAGGTCCCCTTGTGCTGCTGCACTTCCTGGAACAGCCAGGGATAATAGGAAGGCTTTACAGCTGGAAAACAAGCAGAAAAATTAAAAAGCTTTCTTGGAAATACTCTTCACAGAAGGATGTTTCCCAGTGTTTATTTTTCTTACTCTTCTTAGTTTTAAAG